TAATCGTTTCTCTAACATATATTTATTCATGACCAGCATGACTTTCAAAGTACATTCTTGTTGAATTTTGCCACTAGAGAGGACATATTGAAATTAATGACTATGCTCCAAAAGGCAACTTTTAACTCTTCCCTGTGTTATGTGGACTCGGCTACGGGGATGCCTTCAAAAGAAACACACTGCGGTGCAACAATGACCCGTTGTTTTAGGAAAACTACTTGTCCGATTGCAAGTGATTTATATGCAGGCATATTTTACAAGTATATTCTTCAGCTCCCCTTGTGCGATGCCTAAGGATTTGTGTAAGCCCCCTCCCCTCGCTAATACCCCTCTTCCTCCTCCTCCTCCTCCTCCTCCACCCTCCCACCGCAGCACACAAGTCAAGTCGCAATTGGAGGCTGTTGATCTGCGGTGCGAAAGGGATCGCGGCCGGGCCCAATAGGGAGTGGAGTACCCTGCATGTGCCTCCGGCCATCGGGGAGTGGAGCGACAAAAAAACGTAGATGCGCCCTGGAGTGGGTTAGCTGGGAGGGGAGGCTGTCCTCCGAGAACTACCGAAGAGCACCAGTAGTATTGCTGAGCATTTTTATCGCAACTAAAAAAAGCATATTGCCAACAGTTAAAAAAAAAAAAACACCAGCGTTATGTGAACCTCTTCAGAATATCCAAGCACACGTGCCACAAGTTAATAGCATGCACGCCTTGTTTTAAGACATTCGATATTCACGAGAATGCACGTACGTACATTAGACCCGAGGAATAATGGATGGTACCTTGGACAGCGACATTTTTCTACGACGCTTGCTATTAATAATCCTCTCGTATCTATTTTAAAACACAAGTTAATGTGAATCACGTACTAGAATTGCTACAATGCCGCCACCCCATCCCTCATTTTTTTGTCTAATCAGATTCAGCTGATTAAATGGTTAATTTGCCAACCGACCTAGCATATTCGTTATGCTTAGGAATAGGTCTTGATTGCTATTTATAGCGTAGACGCGAAAAATAAAGGCGGCCGTTTCCATTTGCGATAATGCTCGGGCTTTATTCCGGTGACACAGATAAGGGCAGTTTTGGGCATGAGGCGGCCCTCCCCCCACACCTTACAAGCGGGAGGCTCTGTAGCCACCGCCTTACTACATCAGCTGTTACTTTTCATTTCATGGCTCAGTGGTGAAACTCTTTGACTCCTGCAAACTCCTGCAGTCGCTTTCCGTTGCAACATTTCTGACAGTTAGTTTCCATATCCTTATAGACGTTGCTGGTATGGGGGGCATAGAAAAGCCAATTGGTTCATTTCAAATATAACCTATATAATACGTGCTCCCTAAAGGGACAGGGGAGGGTTTCATTCCATCCACGCTGCAGTGATAAACCTCAATAAAATAGGTAGCGATACTGTTGAGCTGGGTGTACTTATACAATCCTACACTGTTACACTGAATTAACACTGCCGATTTTATGTAAGCACATCAACTCATTACACACACACACACACATACACACACACACACACATATATATATATACTCATTACATATATATGTGTGTGTGTGTGTGTGTGTGAGTGTATAATTGTCATTAGTCGAATTAAGTATATTAGATATTCACTTTGTATAGGCCAAATTATTCTACATGAATTGTAGTAGTTTTGTCTTTATCAATTTACACTTATTTTATTATCTACCCATCTAGGAAAATACTTAAAGTTTTGATGCGCTTATTTGCCATCAAAGTATAACATATTATTCATGCTGTTGATAATACAATAATAATAATAATAATAATAATAATAATAATAATCCAGCTGCTGTTCTTGTGCATTTTCATGGGATAACAGTAATGTGGTTATATTCATTAAATCAAATATTTGATATTTATTTATTTATTTATTGCCTGGCACAAAACCCTTTGACAGGAGCCAAATGGCATGCTGTTTGGATAGGATCAGTGGCTGCCTGGCAGTAAGAATGAAAGTATCTGATATATGGATGAGTGTGATGCCTTTCCTGGAATAGTTCCGTTATGTTATCGATGCCATCACAGTAATTATCATCTGTACCAAGCAGGGAGTGTATTGTGTCATTCTGCCCATTTATCCTCATCTGCTATAGGTTTCCCTGATTTAAGTAACAATCGGGGTCTCTTTGGGCCCCTAACGCTGATAGTGACTCCACATATGTTTTTATCAATGATGTCAAAATATGACATGAGCAAGAATTAATGGGAGGATGACCAGTTAAACAAGGAAAGTGTCATCTGTGAGCTTCTCCATATTTACCACCCATAAACACCTCATTTACGGGCAGATTTTGGGGAAGCATGTATTATACTTAAACAAGGCTGGGATAGGTTAAATGAGTGTTTATTTGTTATTTCATATTAGTTTTTTTTTAATCTTATAAAGAACAATAATTAAGTTAATTGAAACATGTCCCTGAAGCTCAGCAATTATATTAATAAAATAGGCCTAATTTATATTACAAACTTTATATAAAGAAGATATATTTAAGCTGTAATATATTTAAGCTGAATAAGTTGTTGAAACAGCAGAGGGCATCAGTACAAACCAAGACAAGTGTGCAAGCGATGGAGTATTTAACCTAGTGATGGTGATCAGTCAAGATAACAAGAACAAGTGGCTTCCCCTGCTGTTGAACTGAGTTCTTTGTGCTTAGTGTTTCCCAATCCGGTCTTCAGGGACCCACAGATAGTCCACTTTTTTGCTCCCTCCCAGCTTCTGGCTGGGTGGGAGCAAAAATGTGGACCAGCTGTGGTTCCCTGAGGACCGGATTGGGAAACACTGCTCTAAACAAAAGGGACTGAATACTGCCTGACAACACAGGAGTATTTCCATTATTTATTCGTGTCACACAGCTGCCAACTGGATAGGGCAGGAGTTTAAACTGTTTTTGTAGCTATAATACACAGTTACACCATCATTTCCATTTATGTGGCGAAAAACATGCGCTATCATTCCATCAAAATATTGCAAATACGTTGTGTACAGATTACATATTTATTGGAATGAACCTTCTAGTTTGCATATTTAATTGGTCATTATAGCTAGTGAACATATATTAATTTTTTCACATCAGTAGCATACTGCATCAGAAAAAGACGTACTGTTAAGTAAACATAGAATGAAAAATGCAAAGACATATCACTAAAATATTGAAGCTCTAAAACCGGATGCTTCATCTGAAAACTTCCATTGTATATGATTCAGGTTTTTGCCATGAAGATCCCCATAGTAAGTGGGAGTATTTAATATGAATGAATTATTAATTATGATCGTTTGCTTTCAATTTGGTTATACTTGACTTTATCTGTGATGCCAGACACTTCAAACTGAACCAACCAGACAGTTTTTAATCAACCGTCTTTGATCAGTCACAATAGCAGATTCATTAATTCAAAGGGTAATTTCCCCTGGCGGAAAGCCCCCTGTTCACATGTAATTTTATCATTACAGTCATGTATGGGAAGGGAACTCTCTCATAAAATAAAAAACATACCTATCTAATGTCTTTGAGTCACACCTAATTAATAAGAATAGAAAAGGGTTTCATTAGTTTATGTAGAGAACATTCTTGTTATGTCACCTCTAGTTCTTCTCTGTATGATTCTATATGTACCTACATGTAATGAGAATTGCCTTTATCTTTGAATATATTTAAAGCCAAGTGTGATATTAAAATAATTCTCTGCAAAGATAGTATAGAATTTATAGTGTACATTTGTTGAATATTTTCAGCATGTTAGCCTCTCAAATATTTTTGTTTTTCGTGTATTCTTGCTTTTGATGCATTATTTCACCAAATTTTGATGTATTGATTGTACCAATGAAACAGATCTGTTATCTTGGTGAGCATGATTGGACTCAAAGTATATAATAAAATGAAAATTACATCATTCCCAGGGTGCCACTTTCTTTATTGGCCCACAGCTTCATCAAGCCTGAAATCTTGACTTGAGGTCTTGCTCCTCTCAAGCATTGTGAAGCAGACTCCTGTTTCAAGACCATGTAACAGTATCTGCTGGGCTCACAGACGTCCAAATGGATACGCTTTAGGGAAGCACTTTAGGGGTGTAAAAAAACATAAGCTTTAGTGCTTTAGACACACTGGAAATTCTAGTTTTGAGGTTATAAAGCTATTAAACCACCAAAATGGAGGAAATGCATTCAGCCATTATGCACCTGGGAATGTTTAAGTCCTTAAATTTTAGCATGGCACTGAGCTCTGTGATTTTCTTCCATTGCATATAAACAAAGCAAGTTACAAACACAAAATAATAACTATTCCTTTAAGAATGGAAAGCTCTACAATATGCATACAAAACTGCGCGGACAGCTTCTTGAACGTCCTTGAATAATTGTAAGGTTTCCACTTGTGCCTTTTTGCCAGCTGGTCAGGGGTCTCCTGCTGTTGCTAGGCTCTCTATTCTCCTCCTCCTTTTTCTAGCACCTGTTCCTGGTTTGGCTGGAATTATCTAGAACCTTTAGAGCTTGGGGCTCAGCCACCTGCCCCTGAAGTCCATAGTGTATTATTATCTTTCCAGCAATCTCTAAGGTCTTGTGTTTGTTTCCTTGCAGCTGAGGCCTAGTTGATCTAAGGTTTCATACTGAGATCATCTTTCCTGAAACTCTCCAAACAAAAATATCTATTTAATTAGTTTTGATTTAATAAAAAAAAAATCATTGAATGTTATTGTGTTATGTAGCTTAATACCAGTTATAATTCCTTCAGGAGAAAAAGTACCCAGTAGGCTATGTAATTATCAGAAAACCATACAAAACATATATTTTGGAAATTATTAAAACAGAGCTTTCAGTTGCAAAATTGCTAACTCCCCTTATCAAATGCACGAAACCCGAAAAACGGCTCTCTGCCGTGAATCTTTTACATCAAACCGTTATTGAACGTGATAATGGGCGCGGAAAGACGCCGGAACTGCCTTTCCCAGGATGCACCGGTGGCGGCTTCCCTCTTCACGCTTGCGCGGCGAGGGAGGCGAGGCGCGCGGTTATTCGGTGTCATAAAATGGCGGCGTGAAAGGGGACGAGCGTAAAGTTGATTTGGGTATAAAACTAATCATTTGTTGCAGTTTCAAGATCCTGGATATCGGCGTCGCTGTTGGGGGCAGTTGGGGACTTGTTTCGTTTGCGATAAAGGTGTGTTTGCTGGTGTCGCGCTTGTTATTGCCCGGTACCGAGGCGGTGAAACGGCATGGATGTCGGACGGCACCGGTAGTTAAAGCCAGAAAAGGTGAAGCTAGTAGTTTACAGAGCGGGATAGAGAGATGGTGAATAAAGACGTTTTTAAGCAGTGTCACAGCTGAAGAGTAGCCCGAAGGTTTTATCGTGGCTGAGTTTGCGTATAAAGGCAGTGGGATTTGTGATGGGTTTGATGATACGTTAAGGTATGGTCAAGTGCTTAAGATGGCTAACTAAAAGTCAACAACTAAAGAAGTGTTCAGAATAATTTAATTTCGCTTTATATTCTGGAACAATAGTGTGTCTAGTCTCCATTTATTTCGTTTTGAGTTTAAATGTAGACATTCACATCAGATCTATGTCTATATAGGGATGCCGTTTATCGTGTTATAAAGTAAAAACAATCTCTATTTTTTTCGGTCACCTTTTAATAACTTTCTCAGATGTCACTGTTCTTCTTATAGCTAGAAGTATTATTGCACCTTTTATGTTTTTTTATGTCTCAACTGAATAAGAGTGTTGCCAATGCTTATATTGGTTGTTTATCGGGCGAATAAGGTTTATGATAAGGCAAAAACGACACTACTGTCCATTCAGCGGTTGTGTTCACTTTAGATTTGTAGAAGTAGGATTGTATCGTTTTATTCTGAACCAACCAGAACAATTTGAAATGACTTGGATGTTTGATGCAGTCATGTGAAACAAAGTCTGTATGATTAAGACGTTCTACATGTTCGACTGAAACTGTTTGCCTTCATTTTAAAGTGATCAGAGCTGTGATGGCGAAGAGGATAGCAGATAAAGAGTTAACCGACCGGAATTGGGATCAAGAAGATGAAGGAGAAGAGGTAAGGTACAAGCTACTTCGCTCTGCCCCCCCCCCCCCGATTGATTTGGTGCAGGCTGAAATTGTCATGTTGCCTGTCTGAGTTGCCCAGTTTGACTTCTGGGTGACAGACAGTGTGAGGTCATGCCATCTTAGTCTGCACATTTACAGATGAGCCAGCACGTAAAGCCCAGAATATGTCTGAGCACATGAGGGAGTTCAGATAGGGAAAGCTCTGATTTATCTGTAATGCAGCAGGGGACACAAAGTGAAATTCTTTGCTTAGCTGTATAACTTGTTGGATTTAAGGTAGCCTGGGCTAATTGTAAGTAAACAAATGTAGAGTCTATTTAAACTGGGTAATCTTAAGTCTGACACGGTAGCAAGAAATCCTGCTTCATGACACAGACCCCAGATCTTTCATTGGACTGCCTTCGTACTACCTTAGGATTATCTTCTCCACCGTTGTGGTGAGGTGGACCCCATAAGCCTGTTGTATGACACCTTTATTATACACAGCTGAACATTTCATATATATATTTTATCCTTTATTATTTTTCCTTATTTTTTCTCTATATTTTGTTATCATGCACAGCTGCTTGGAGTGACCATGGTTACATTTCACTACATGTTGTATGTGTACGACTGTGTATGTGACGAATAAACCTCTTGAATCTTTAATTTTTCTTCATTGAAATACCCCTCCCATAGCCCGGAACGTTCTCCCTTGCAAGCGAAGATGTACTGAAGAACCGGCCAATCAAGAGGGCAAAACGCAGAAGCATGGCGACTGAGGTAACGCACCACTTTGGCCTGTTTGCACCCAGAGATTGTGAATGCGTGATCATCATCTCCGGTCAGATGATTGGATGTTCACAGAGCCCACGTGTATCTGCCTAAAAGTGCCGTTACAAGTAGGAAAATGATCCTCCTTGCTGAACAGTCCCTCTCTCTCCGTAGGGTGAGGTCGGAGGTGCTTTCAAAGGCTTTAAAGGTTTTTCAATGACCTCAATGGGGACAGGGGGAGGTGCAGCCTCATTTGCAGGCTTGGGGAATGGCACCGGCTTCAAGACCCTGTCCACTCTGACGAATGGGAATGGTGGTGCAGTTGCCCCGCCCACCCTCTCTACACTTGGCTCCACCCCCACAGCAAAGACCACCACAGGTAGGTACTACTAGTCTGCCTGATAATGGGTTCTGTGTTTGCCAGATATTCATGGGGTGAAGTTGGACCTTAACCATATCCTCTTCCTTTTTAATTGGAAATCAGGCCAGTTTTATTCTGTATTACTCTAGCCCCATTTTATTACTGGTCTTAGTGATGGTTTGGCTTCACATTTCATGGAAAAATCCTTGCCTGAAACTTTGCTTGTTCACTTTCAAAGTAACTTTGCCCGTAACTGTCAAATCTGACTGGGCCAGGTCCAGTGTCCTCCTAGAACTTTTCCCCTTCTGTTGTTAAAAAAAAAAAAAACAAAAAAAAACTTTGTCGCTTTGAGGTTATTGCTTCATGGGCTGTTAACTCTCACCTTCAGTGTATTGCAGCAGAATTTTTATCAGATGTCACAATGACTGTTTCTGCATAACTCTACATTTGGCTCGTATTGTAGTTTCTTTTTGTACAGATTTTATTACCAGTATCTACTGAGAGCTGGATAGGCTTTGACTACTATTATCAACTTTAATGTTTAGCAGTCTGCAGTGTATGATCATGCTTGTATGATGAATTTTGGCTAGCTTCTGTTTGCAGTGTATGTGCTGATGACTGATTTTAAACTGAAAAGTTTAAAATATAAAATGTGTACATGTGGATGGCACACGAGCGTGTTCAGAATGCTGTTAGTGGTGAACATGGATGAGCCATTTGCACATATAATAATACTCAGACCAAAATCTGAAGTAGGGCTGAACAATTTATCGATTTCATATCAAAATCCTGATTTGAAACAACCAGATTAGCATCACAAAGGCTGAAATTTAGGGTATGCATTATACAGCACCTCTGGCCCAGGGTTTAAAACTACCATGAGAACTTACAAATCCATGCCGTCATCCTTGTGTGTCATTCTAACCCAGTGGTCCCCAAACTTTCTCTGCAGGGCCCCCATTTTCTAGATAGGAACATTATTGAGCACCCCCCCCCCATTCAAACTACACAGGTTCAGATTCAAACTTTATTTGAAATACAACTCCCTTTTCTAACTGAGCTAAACAAATGCAATTACAAAATACAAATGGTGCAATTTCACCACTGTGGGAGAAAATCAATCAATTAAAAATAAAAGTCCAGCATAAGTTTGAAATTATGCTAATTCAGATTCAACATTCCTGTTAATATTCATTGGCGTAGACAAATTAAAGTTTGTCTTACTATTACCGCATTTTGTTTTTAATGATAACCGCAGGTTTCAGCCTATACTATAGCACAAAACAACACTAAATCACACCCATTAATTGATAGTCTCCCTGCACTTCATGTAGAAAATTTTAAACCGCGTTTTTCATGATATGGTTAGATTTTATTGTCCGGCGCTGCAAAACGTCGTCACACGTCACCATGTCACATGGTACAAAAACCTTGCAAGAGCAAGACGACTTAAGACAGATCGTACAGCACCTCTCAGCCGGCTGATCAAACTGGAACAGCCTCCGTGACGACACAACTTTGCCCTTATTGGCTGAAGAACGTGTCGTTTGTATGACGTTTGTATCCCAGGAAGTTCCGAAGCATTATCTGCTATTTCTCCTGAATATCACGTAAAGCAGTAAGAACTGGTTTTCAGTTCATTTACCTGGTAAAATAAAGTTTAAATTAATTACATAAATGCTCTAATAGTACACGTAAGTTAGTGGTTTATTTATTGTTAGTTACTGTAATGTTGCGCTGCTTTATTTGGTTAATCATCCAGTCTGTGAAGAGATTATTTTAAGGTGGCCCATGCCCCTGAGGCTATCCCATTGGTGTGCCCCTCCCGCAATACCTCTGCGCCCCCCAGTTTGGGAACCACTGTTCTAACCAATCGGAAGTGCTGTGCTCTTTGCGTGCCTGTCATGCACACCAATCAGAAGTGGCTCAAGGCGACTGCGGATACGCCCACAAACAACAAATGCATGAAACCCAAGGAGAACGTTACATTTGTGGTGCGAAAAAACATTGATTCCACAGCTGAGTTATAAGTGAATTACTTGTGTATTTCATAGTCAGAGATTGTGTACAGAAAGGTTCTGTTATTAAGGGTCCAAGCAATGTTAGCTGCATATCACTATTTTTTTCCTCACTGGAACTGTTTTTAGTTTATTTAACTTAAAGCAATTATCACAAAGGCAGTATTATGTTCAACAATCCACATATGCAAATATCCATTCACATTTGAAAGTGATACGTGCAGCAATCGATTTGTTGTAACAGTGCAAAAGCGTACTTATTTTATGTGCATTTGCGCTGATATGGCAAGAAATTATTGTGCATTTTAACCTTTTATATGCTATCTCGTGCTTCTTTTGTGGTATAAAGGTTAAAGTGCAAGGTAATCTGTTGGTGCTAGTCGCTAGCATAATTAGCTGCTAACAGATAGGTGCCCCATTTTATGGAGGGACTGAATTCATCAATATTTTAAGAAATGTATATTTTTACCAGACTAATGGTAGTGGACAGAGTGAGCAGTTTGTAGCTCTTCAATGAATGCTCCAAGTAAATTTTAACGTCATTAATGTCAGCAAATTTTAATGTTTAATGTCATGAAACTTTTTGCAGTGGCATTGTAACAATATAAAATAAAGTTTTCTGTGATCGATATAATTGGCGCCACCATCCTCTGCAAGCTGCCTTTCAAATTGAGACTAATAACTTGATAAAACACTTGAATGGTGCAAAAGGAAGCGATGAGTGGTAGAAAATGGCAAAAACTTTGAGGAGGTTGAACATTAGAACTCGCAGTGTTTGAACTCGCAGTGTTTGCATTGTGTAGTATTTTCTTTGCAATGCTCCCCAACTTTCAATATTTCCTGCTGTGTTCTACCACTCGTCTCTTCCATTTCATTTTCCCCATTTTCGTTTTTCTTCATTACTCCACACCCCAATAGGCTTCTCTCCCGGTGCTCCAGTTAATATTGTCCATACGCTGCTGCAGTCTGTGCATGATAGTACTGACTACTGAGGATCATAAAGCCAGTGATCGAGGCAGAGAAATATGCCTGCAGGGTTTTTATGAATCAGATTATCTGAGTAATCATTTCAGCCCTACTGTGGAACTCGCCTGTCTCCAGAGTTGGTTGTTTCCAGTAAAATCCAAGTTGACTCCCTCCTTTTGGGCTATAGAGAACAAACAAGCAGGCATGACTTAGAGAAGTGTGTTGAATGTCAGCTGTCTCTTGGGGCATTAACCAATTATTGACAATCCATCTGCATTCTATAACTGTTAATCCACTAGAGGCTAGCCGTGATCATCCCGGGAAGCAGGGGACCCGAGATAGGGGGCACCTTGGAGAATATGGCAGTCTGTTACCGATCGCTGTCAGTATAGCGTGTAAAGTGGCACCAGACTGAATCTTGAACAGTAGCCTTTTTATTATGGTTTTCTGTGCTGCTGTGTCCAAACAGGATACCTGCCTTTTCAGACAGGGTTGGAAAATGCGCACTGAAATGTTTTGTTCAGGTGCCTGTGGGTTGACGTATGCGAGGAGCCTGGCTATGACTCTCTGTGTGCTGCACCATCTGCCTCCACACCCACCTCCAGAGAGGTGGCCGTCTGCTGCAGCGGTTTGGCAGTCGTGCTGCCAAACAGCATGGTGGCAGTCGCGCGGTAGGGACGCAGATGCCTGATGTGGCTGTGTGCCGTCTATCAGAACAGACGTGGAGAGAGGAGCGCCATGGTCCTGGAGCTGTTCATTGACTGTAGCTTTATTTATCAGGAAGGAGGGGAAATGTAGAAGCTGAGCTCTGTTACTCACTCTGTTAATCCCCCCTCCCACTCAGGCTCATTGGCATTCAACGGCCCCGCCTCTTCCCAACCCCCCGCCACTGACGTGGGCGGCAGGCAGCCCAATGGCCCCGCCCCCGGTGCAGCTCAGAGTCCTCAGAACAGCCGGGAGTACAGCCGGCAGCTGACGGCGCTCAACTACTCTGTGCGCGACTGGATCACCAAGCACGTCAACGACAACCCGCTGTGCGACCTCAACCCCATCTTCCGCGACTACGAGCAGCACCTGGCCAGCATCGAGCGGCAGTATGGCGGGGGCTCAGAGGGCGAGGCAGCCAAGCAGGGGGGCTCCCAGCCCGCCGGGGCCGCGGTTGCTGCCTCCGCCCCTGCATCCTCCACCGGAGGCAGCAGTGGGATAGCTTCCTTGCCAGGGGCAACTCTGCTCGCCCAGGAAAAAGAGAGCGCCGCCCCGCAGACGGTTCCATCCGGCGTCACATTTAACTTCGGCAAGAAGGTGGATGCCTCGCTGTTGGGTCCCCTGGGTGCCGGCGGAGCGGGCAGCTTCTCCTTCTCCACCAAGAGCTCCTCCACCTCCCTCTTCGGGGGCCACGGGGCCGCCGTCACGGCGAGTGGCTTCTCCTTTGGCGGCGCCAAGGCAGAGGCGACAAACAGTGCAGGAGGGAAAGGTAAAGCCCCCTGTGCCTGTGAGGGACCTCCGATGCTAGAAGGGTTAGGCTGGAGGGGACGGGGTTATATGCAGAAGTCTGGGCCCCCCCCCGGTGCCCTGATGAAAACCCTTTAAGTGGCCTGTTGCTGTGCCTGCGCCCAGACAGTACAGTTTCTCTGTGATTCTCTGTTTTTTTTGCTTCTTTAAAAAAGTATTTGTTTCCTTTTTTGCTTGCTAAGATATTAATCTTGTTTGAATCGCAGCTGCCATCAGGTTATTAGTGATGAATATGTGAATGTCATTTGTGGCCAGTGTCTCACTGCACTGACGCGGCATTATAAGTTTAAAGTTCCTTTCAGTGAAGCTGTTCATCTCAAGTGGGCAGTTTGCTGCATGTTTACCCAAAGTAATTAGTATCACGGTATAACACTTTGCCTGTTGTATATCTACAGGAGTCCAATGTAAATTGCTCAAGGGCCATTTGGGCTCCCTTACGGAGCCGGGGGCCCTTGAGTTATCAGGGATCTTCCTGAATCACCATTCCATCTCTGACGCTTATGGCTCTGTGTGTCGTCCCTCCCTCCACGCAGATGAGAACGGAGGAGCCGACGAAGAGTCAGAGGAGCCCCCTAAGCCTGTGGTCACGGAGGTCCAGGAGGACGACGCGTTCTACTCTAAGAAGTGGGTCTCTGTCCGAGCGTGACCACAAAAGGGGGCTGTTGGTGTGTAGAGCAGCCATGTGCCAGATAGCCCGGTGATACTGAGCAGGGAGGTGTTATTGCTGCTAAATGTTTATGGGCATGTAAATGCCCCCCCACCCCCAATCAGTTTGGGGACACTAATACTCACCAAGTGTGTTTAATGGGAGCATCTCCTTACTGTAGTACGTAGCAAAACAACACTTTTGGAATGTTCTCCGTCACGCTTGGAATTTTCTTGATTTTTAGGTGCAAACTGTTTTATAAGAAAGAGAATGAGTTTAAGGAGAAGGGAGTGGGGACGCTGCATCTGAAGCAGGTGGCCGATGGGAAGACTCAGCTCCTGGTGCGGGCCGACACCAACCTGGGTAAGGCGAGCCCTCCTCTCTGCTTTCCGCTAATTTAGTTTGTTTTACTTGTGTTAATAGTATTAGTGGGTTAAATGGGGGAGTGTGATTTGTGTTTGAGGAAAGTACCTATAAGCTGGCATAGGCTGGTTGGTGCCGATGGTTTTAATACAAATGCTTGTCTTCCCTCTAGTGGCCACGCTGAGAAATGCCTGTTGTGTAAATCTTGCTTTACTGTTACTGCTGTATGTTAGTATAGTTTATAAACATCTGTGTTTTCTCTCTGGTGTTAAGCTACACAGTTCAAGGCCTCAGCTGGTTATCCTGACGGGACACTGAAATGTTTTTTGTTCAAAATAAAATTCCATCTGCCCCGCAACCCTGAATAGGATTAGCAGTTACAGATGATGGATGGATGGATGGAAAATTCCATCTGTATTGCTTTCCACTGAAGTCCTCCCCTATTGTCTGTTCCATTCAGGTGTTCTGCATTTTATTTTCTTGTCTTCTGAGACATGAAGCTGTTTAAAAGGATCCTGTCTCTCCCCAGGAAACATCCTCCTGAATATCCTGTTGCCCGCCTCCATGCCCTGCTCACGCACGGGCAAGAATAACGTGATGGTGGTGTGCGTGCCCAACCCCCCCGTGGATGAGAAGAGTCCCACCAACCCTGTGCCGCTGCTCATCCGGGTCAAAACGACCCAGGACGCAGACGAACTGCACAGAATCCTGCTGGAAAAGAGGGCGTGAGGCCCCACCCCCCCAGCCGGGACTGAACAAACGCCAATGGCGTCCCTACAGGCTGTGTCCCTTTTAGCAGATCACCTTCCCCCTTACCTCTGCCTCCCCTCCACGCCCTTCGGTCCCTCGTTGTCGAATGTGCGATAATCCGGCCCTAGACCGTGTCGTGGTAACTCGAGGTTCACATACTTTGTCCCCTGGTACAGTTTTGTAATGAAAGTCGCTAAGTAGCATGCTTGTATATATTTTAGATTAAGTAGTCAGTTGTCATACTGTGAAATGGGATTGTTATTTTTTTTGCCATGCTTCTAGGCGTGAGACACCCTCGCTTCTGGCCAAACTGCTCATGCAAAAAGGTTTCTTTTCAGAAACTTAGGGGATATTGTTTATTGAACCATTTTGAAGATTTATTTTTTTTTAAACGTGGAAAACGAGTCAAGGCTCCCTGGAGTCAGAAACATTCCGTCAGTCGTGAACTTTTGCTGCTATCCTGTAGTTCAGTGGAAGATTGAGGTCAGTCAGCCAGCCGCTGCTAAGCCACCATCGACCCGAAGATTTTAAACTGCGGTACTGATTAATTCGGACACTGTTGTGGCAGAAAGGAACAAAAGATTTTGAAGATGTGAGTGTGGGTAGGAGCAAGTCCGCTGTGATTCTGTATGTCATGCTACTGGTTAATGAGGAAATGGAACCTTCAGGAATTACTAAGTCTGCAGTTTTGCTTCTGTAATTGGAGATGTTATTACTGGCTCTGCTGTTCTGGCACCCTGTTGCTCATTTAGGCATTTTCTTGCTTTGTATTTTTTTGTAAATTAAAGGAAACGTGATTTCACAAAGTCTTCGTTTTGAGTGTCACGGGGTCAATGGGCCCTCGGCTAAACAGATCTATATATTATTATTTTTTTAAAGCTTCAGCCACTTCTCTGTGAGTGATGTGATGGGGAATATTTATTCAGGAGTGGTAGTTGCCTGTGCTGAGTGAGCTGGATGAGACCTTTTCACCTCCAACTGGCAGATTTGAGTCCTTTTCAGTCCCCTCCCCACTACATCTGACCTCCACTTCCCCAAAGAAGATAATATTGTACGGAGCCCCACACCTGTAAGTGTCATGGATGAATGTGAGTCTGCGGCTGTTCAGTCCGTCTGTTTTCATATCGTCCACACTGGTGTAGCCGAGTGACTTTTTATATATATATATATATATATATATATATATCATCCAAGTGTCCTTCATGCTGCTCCAGCAGAGGTGACTCCCGCCAGGCAACGCGGCCTGACTCATTTGTATGAGTGATTGGTCAATAAATCACTGCACATTCACTTTCACAGACTGTGGCCTGTTTTGTGTTCTCTGGCGGTTTAGGTTTCCGCTAAACACGGTCGGTAACGAATTCAAATTCTCCTGGCTCTCAGTGATAACCTGGGCCACTCGCTGGTGATCTAGCCATTCTGAAAAGCTTAAATATATATTTTTTTTCTAATCGAAAAGCAAAGCTGCAGAAAGTAAACAGTTTTAATTGGAAAGCAGGTAACGATCACCTGCTAACTTAACCAATTTTGAATTAGGTTTTAACCAGTTTTAGTTCTGCAGGGTCCGTGTGCTGTTACTCTATGCCATGTATGTGTTTGCTAACCCTAACACTGACTCAAACATTAAACTGAGATTGGAAAAATGTCTGTCTGCGGTCTAGAGTATCTTGGTTATCCTGACGTTGCTTACACACCGCTCTTCCTGGTGAGGATCAGGGCTGCCTGCCTTCAGCCCTTGGTTGGAAGGAGCAGGGGCTGGATTTCCAGGGAGTGAGACCGGCTTCCAGGAAGATAATGGCAGCAGCATACATTAAACATCTGGAGTGTTCGGGCCTCAAATTGAAATGCTTGAATGCAAATTCATGGGAAAAGAAGATAGACATCTTATAATCCTTTATAACTATTCTCTAGTACTCTGCTCTGCCGTAAAAGCGAGCTAGTAACACCCTTACAATCTAGTTTTCCTTCTATAAGCATTGGATAAACTTGCTAAACCTGCTACTAACCTACTTGGTAACTGAAGGATGGGTCCCCTTTTTACTGTGAAGTTTTGCTGTGTTACTGTGAAGTTTAGCCTCCTCCTGTTTCCTACCTCAAGTCATGTGGTTTATGAATAACATCAAGAGTAGACGCGTTAGACATTGTGTTTCAAGGGTTTTTTCTAGGTGGCGTGTTTACTTTGTGGGTGCTCTGAAGGTGTGTCTGGTCACATCTTGTCCTGACTTGGACCGTGGGTGGACTCAACCTGCAAGATTAATCACAAAAGTAATATGCTGAAGCAGCTATGAGTCATAGCTGGGATAGTTTCTGATAACTTTTGTATTTTAGGGAATTAGGAGAAAAAAATTCAAATTATGACAACATGCACATGGATTTATGTTAATATTTAAAAAAATGTTTAAAGCATTTGAACTGTGTCACCACAAAACAGGCTTCCAGAATGAACATCTTTCTATCTGTATACATCAGCATAAGCATACAAATTAAACAAGGAAAGGTGAGAAATTACTGGAAAATTAGTTCTTAATGCTGCTCAAGTATACTTGTCCTCAGATAGCAAAATGCTCAGATTACACATCGGTCCTTGTGGTTTTTGCAGTTTTGCTCAGCTCTCACAAAGCAGTCATAAGTTTCACTCAAGAGGACGTTTGCTCTCTGGGCTTCTGAGCAGTAGAATGAGAAGCTAAGATCCTCATAGAACCCGTTACAGGTGTATATCACTGGATGGAGTTAAGTTGGGATAGTCAGGAAGCTCAGATCATTAAAGGGGTTCTTCAAGCACTGGTTTTCTGAAGAGCTCTGGGTCAGCCAGTGCAGAGTAATATTAGGCCACGGGACTATGGCCAGCGTACTAACATGGCTGCTCCTCTGTGTGCAACGCTCCCAGGAGCTGTGCTTTGGCGTCTCTAAGTACAGTGTCCGTCTGCAGCCTATAGCGTGTACTTTGGTGGTCCGTGTCCAAGTGTTCCAGATGCAGTTTGCCCTGCTGGTGTAACGTTCTCCTCTGGTGGGCTTCCATCTGTCGGCGTGACAGCGACCAGTCAGGTAGGTCAACATTCTTCCTCTTCCATCCGTGAGCACACCGCATTTCTGCCTCAGCCTCAAAGGCACTCCTGTCCACCGTAAAAGGCAAAGTGAACCTAAAAAAATTGCGAAGCTCTCAGAAATGGAAAGCTCAGTCAAAGGGACTGGGAGATGCTCGGAGACACGTTAGAGATACAAAACTTTAGTCAAACTTTTGCCGGCAAGTATTCAACAGAAATAGATGTGGTTGAATGAAGTATCGTGAAGGATGGTTCATGTTGCTCTCAGAATGATACTACTTTATAAAACAAAGCTTGGATTTTATGAATGGGTACATAGTTGATCATGATATGGAAAGTCAGCTATATAGAGAAGATAATTACAGTGAAACACCATGTCCATGTTTTGTTACACCTCATGGGTAGGCATTAAAGTATAGGAGACCCATCCATCCATCCATCCATCCTCTAGTGACTACTCCAGGTCAGGGTCATGAGGAGTACAGAAAATAACAGTATAGCTTTGCTGTCCTGTTAACTGCCTCTGCTGTGAGTTAAGCATCTGCCGTTACCTGAGGTTCAGGAGACAGTGAATATTTACAAGTTCATCGACTCAAAAATATCCAAACTTTCTGTTCAGCTCAAGCTAGTAAAACCGTAAGCTTGTCAGGAGGATGTACATGAATTCACTTTACTGGATGTTCATTTTTGGAAACTACTGGAGTGCAGTGACTCTGGTTCCACCAACCGATTAGCTGTACCTGCCTTAACTTCCATACCCCTCCTATGGTTTGTCTCCTTGTAGAGAGGAAATATGCCAAAGCACAGGACAGGAAGTGAGCAGGTGCTCTACCCATGCACACTGTCACTGTTAATACTTTCTGTACATAGCATATCAAATAAACATCAGTTTGTGATATTTGGGTTTTAGCAACATTAACAACTGTTCTATTAGCGTCCTATTTACTCAAATTGCTCTCACAATGTGTCCTTATAATTACTCTCAGTGTAAATTCCCTATACACATAATGTGTTAACATTAAAGTTTAAAATACTTCATTGAAAAAGAAACTTCTCTATCAGTGAGGTTGCCGTAAAAGATTAGCAGGGATACAATACGTGTACTGCCTAGTTACATTCAACTAGGTTAAGAGCAGTTAATATACAGTAATCCAGCCTCCAACACTGCTGATATAAAGAAACCAAAAAACACCAAAGGCCACAACATCAAGCGTAACCCTTAAAGGTACATCCCTAAAAAAGGAATCCTGTGTCAAAAGTACAACATAGTGCAAAAGCTACACAACACAGCCAGCTGAAGGCCTTTTGGTGAGTGGCCGAGTGGCAGGTATTTACAGGAAAGTAGAGACGTTGCCTTCGGATCAAAGTTTAATAAACGGTGCATCAGTCGAGGGCTACGGATGATCCCAACAGGAAACTGCAGGATGGTTAGAATCAGCGAATGGGGTCTGTCGCTTCAGACGGCCTTGTTCCTCCTGTGAACAGGTGTCAGGTGTCAGATAGAGGCACTTCTGAATGGCTGGTTTGCTATCGTTTCCCCCTGTTCCTCATCGTGAAACACCGCCGTGTCACTCTTTTTGGCTTCCCGTCTTGACACTAGGTGGTAGTGTTGTCTGTGGCCTGATGCAATTAGGCACTTGGCAGTGAGTTCGAGGAAGTCGCTCGCAGCGTCCGCTATGTCATCAGGATGGGCTTTTGTCTCACTTCCAGGATATCTGGAAACAAGGAATTTTTTTTAAATGATCTTGTTCATAATTAAATTCTGATTTAATTTATGCAACATTAGTTTTGGAAACAGCGCAAATGTAATCCTGAAACCACATTTTGTGCAGTTTTAACTAAATATACATCTTCTAATATTCTTTTTCAGAAGGTTTAATAAGTGGACTGCTATTGGAATTCTACAACTGGCTGGCCTACATGTAGCTTTAGTTGGGTGGCAGCAGCAAACCCAGATTATGATAAATCCAAGGCATAATCAACAATTAGTGTCACTTCTTTGTCTAAGCTTGGCAAAGTTTCCCTCACTAAAACCTCTTCGGGCAGGGGTGTCAGACTCCAGTCCTGGGGGGCCGGAGCCCTGTGTAGCTTAGTTCTTTCCCTGTTCCACTGCAAATGATTCTGCCCAAGAGCTGTGTGGTAATTAGCACAAGGAGTTGAATCAGGTGTGTTAAATGAGGGGAAACCAAAAAACTGTGCAGGGCTCCGACCCCCCAGGACTGGAGTTTGACACCCCTGTCTTAGAGTGTACTCACAATTGTTCTGCCTCCCCAGTCTCCCATTTTTCTGCACTCACGTTTCGCTTAACGTTCAGGGCCCGAGCACACTTTTGTCATCACTGTGCAACTTTTGTTGAATAAACACAGAAAATGGAGTTCTTGATTTATGTCCTAATTTTGCGGCTTATTTGTAGTTGTTTTGGGCGTATTATCATACACGGCCCTCTATTGGTTTATGGAGTATGCAACGCAATGATTTTCATTTAAATCGTGCTGCGCGTATATAAAAATACAGTTCTGTACTTTACCAAATATCTCAGAGTTTTTGTGTGTTGCATCCAGTTGTTCCTGGATACTCTCGTCAGCCCAGATTACCAGCAAACACTGCACCTCTGCCACAAAGCAAAGTGATCCCTTTGCCGCCATGTTTGTTATATGTTTTCCTTTCAAGGACATTAGATAACAGATGTAAAAATCTGTCCAGGTGCCAGTTTTTCAGTACTATACACCTAAAATATTAATGAGAGGTGTATTGTGAT